CATTTGTTTATTCTACATGATAACATTTGTTTATTCTACATGATAACATTTGTTTATTCTACATGATAGCATTTGTTTATTCTACATGATAACATTTGTTTATTCTACATGATAACATTTGTTTATTCTACATGATAACATTTGTTTGTTCTACATAATAACATGTTTATTCTACATAATAGCATTTGTTTATTCTACATGATAACATCGTTTGTTTATTCTTATTGTTAACATTGTTGTTAAATTTCATAGTTTCTTTGTCGTCGCTCAAAATTCTTATGTTAAAAATTAGGCTAAAAATTAGGTATGTTAAATTAGTTGAATTTATAAAAAATGTAAAGAATCAATGATACTGTATTGCTTGAAATTTTTCATTCAAAATTTAACAATGTCCAACAATCACACATGTAGAAATAATTTTTGTAAATAATATTTAATTATTATCAATATTTTAAACTATTTCTGTATTTCTATTAATACTATATATTTTTTATTTTTTCTATATTTTAACGGTTGTTGTTTTTTTAATTTTTTTCTTGACCGCTAAATGACTGTCGATATAAACATAAGAAAATAAGAAAAAATTAAATAATTTTTCTACACTTTAAAAACGCATCCATAACAGTTTCTTGGAACAAGACAAACTATTCTGTTTACATAAATAAAATAATATAAAAGAGAAATAATTTTTTGCAGTAGGTTTTGAAATACTAAATCCCGTTAATACATCAATCAACCCATTTCCTTTTATTAATTAAAAACTTATATTGATTAGCCTAGTTCTCCAATTCTAATACGAAATATTTTGTTTCATTCGAAAATAATATTAAAATATTTATTCTTGTTTATTTTATTATTCTATAATTATTTATTTTTAATAAAATGTTTTAAATAGTAATTCAAAAATATTTACAGCTCTTGCAATACACTTAGAAATAAAGAATTCGTTATTTATAATATACCTAACTAGAGGAGAATTTAGATGATTACATTTGTTTTGTTACAAAACAAATGTAAATTGTTTATTTTACATTATCTAAAGTAGATACACTGAAGTGACAAAAGTCATGGGATAGCAATATGCAAATTTTCAGATGGCAGTAGCATCGCGTAGAACAGGTATAAATGCGCAGTGCTTTCGCAGAGCTTTCATTTCTGTTCAAGTTATTCATGTGAAGAGGTTTTGACGTGATGATGACCGCACGACGGGAATTAACAGACTTTGAACGCGGAATGTTAGTTGGAGCTAGACGCATGGGTCATGCCATTTAGGAAATCGTTAGGGAATTCAACATTCCCAGATCCACTGTGTCAAGAGTGTGCCGAGAGTATGAAATTTCAGGCATAACATCCCACCATGGACAGCGCAGTGGTCGACCGCCTGCACTTAACGACCGAGACCGGCGACGTCTGCAAAGAGTCGTAAATTCTAACAGACAAGCAACACTGCGTCAAATAACCGCAGAAATCAATGTGGGACGTACAAGGGACTTGTCTGTTAGAACTGTGCGGCGAAATTTGGCTTTCTTGGGCTAATCCAGCAGAAGACCGACTCGAGTGCCTTTACTGACAGAACGACATCGCTTGCAGCGACTCTCGTGGGCACGTGAGCATATCGGTTGGTCCCTAGATGAATGGAAAACCGTGGCCTGGTCCGATGAGTCACGATTTCAGTTGGTAAGAGCTGATGGTAGGGTTCGAGTGTGGCGCAGACCCCACGAAGCCATGGACCCAAACTGTCAGCAAGGCACTGTTCAAGCTGGTGGTGGCTCCGTAATGGTGTGGGCTGTTTTTTCATGGCATGGAATTGGTCCTCTGGTGCGACTGGACCGAACATTGACTGGAAATGCTTATGTTCAGCTACTTGGAGATCAGTTGCAGCCATTCATGGACTTTATGTACCCAAACAACGATGGGATTTTTATGGATGAAAATGCGCCATGTCACCGGGCCACAACTGTTCGCGATTGGTTTGAAGAACATTCTGGACAATTCCAACGAATGAACTGGCCACCTAGATCGCCTGACATGAATCCCATCGGGCATTTATGGAACATCATCGAGAGGTCTGTTCGTGCCCAAAATCCTGCACCATCAACGCTTTCACAATTATGGACGTCTATCGAGACAGCATGGCTCAATATTCCTGCAGAAGACTTCCAACGACTTGTTGAGTCCATGCCACGTCGAGTTGCTGCACTTCGCCGGGCGAAAGGAGGACCGACACGATATTAAGAGGTATCCCATGACTTTTGTCACTTCAGTGTAGATATACTACCTATTTTAACGTAGTTTGCTACATTTAATTTTTTTCTCTTAACTTTAATTTTTCTTTTACTTCCTTGCCAACTGAATATAGTTTTAATAAATTTTGGAAAATTAAAAAAAAATCATTAACGCATTCTGTGATAAAAATTTAATTATAAATAAATAACTTTATATTGTTTATTTATAATTATATTTTTGATAATATATTTCCGAATGTAGATGTTGAAATTATGTTTAATAAATATAAAATATTCGTGACAAAAAAAAATCATTTTAATAAAATTGATTTTAGAAAATAATATTGAAATGTGAAATAGTAAAATTTTGAAAATTAAATAAAATTTTCAATTCAAGTGTATAAATAATTGAATAGAACTATTACCTTTTATTTACATTGACTGGTCTAAGTTGGTAAATCTCATTTTTAATTATTCTTAAATTTTAGTTTAATTTCTGATTTACAATTTCTAAGAAATTAAATTCTCCCAACCACACTTTACAATACGTTATCTCTAAAAAGATGCATTGAAAATTAAACTAATTCGCGTAAAGCTTAAGTAAATCAGATTATCTGGTTGACAGCGAGCGACCTCGGGGCGTGTATCAACGATTAGAATATGCTGATGGCAGACAGAAACGCTGAGGATACTTAATGGAATGGTCATAACACTTGTCACAATATTAATAGCTAATCAACTTATCACTATGTACCCACCATGATTCTCTCCATATTTAATACATCTGATATTCAATAGATATCGGAATGCGGAGACCTTGACCCTTGGTTGATATGCTACAGACTAATCCCAACTACGATTTATTTTACCTTTATAAAAGCTCATGGTAGGAAACTTTTCTAAATTGCACTTGCGCCCATTAGATTAGAGTCGTGGCATCAATTAAAAAAAATTGTAATAAGTAGTATTTAAGGAGTGTTTTGATTGTCAAAAATGAATTTCATTGAATTTATTTAACAATGCTTTTATCTTTTCATTTGAATTTATTATTTATTTTTATTGATCCCAATAAAAAATAAATTCCTCGAAATGAAAACTTTAAAAATCCGTAAACTTAATGAAAACAATTTATTAAACTGCTATCGCTGCATTAATAAAAAATTAAGAAAATATTTCTATATGATATTAAAATATACAATTCAAACCATTAAGGATATACATGTATATATAAACATTTTTAGTCATAACTATTTACAAATCTGAAAGTATAAAATGCTTAATTGCTTAATTTATTAAAATTTAGAATCAGCTTTGTTTGGTAGAAATTTAAATCCACGTATTGAAACAGATATTAAATTAATATTCTAACATACAAAATAAATTTATGTTTTTTATAACAAATTAAATAAATCTTTGATAAATATTTTATCTTTTTTTGGAGATATTTAGATAGTCTTAGATGTGGATAGTATAAATAAATCTATGTAGTTCCCCATAATATTAAATATGTATATATCTCCGATATAGTAACAGTAATTTACCTTTTGTACAAATTGTAATGCCCTACTCATTCCTCAGTAGCAACGTGCTCCAATGGTGAGCATTAGGACTGAGATTCAGTCCGCTGGCGTCTTTGTTGTGGACACTGTTGCAAAAACCGGGTAGACTCGATGGTGTAAAGATATTCAGCACCTTGCCTCATTAGTCGAACTGTCTGGTGGGAGTTTTCTTGGGTTTTCTCCCACATAAGCAAATGCGGGGTAATTACCACTATAAAGTTCTCCCGGAAGGAACTTCCCTCCTTCAGCTGTACGGGGCCAAATCAAACTTCTACCTACGGGTGCTCCATCACAACAGAAGCAGCCCCCTCTCTCCTTCCATCCATGAGTAATCTATAGACGACATGGTCGTCCCTTACTTCATGGGATGTCCATCCCGCATTGCAGGACACTGAGGGTTAAACACACTTAAACTGTAACTGTTTTTCTTAACATTTAGAATTATATTTGTATTAATCACTAACTAAATATATTATTTATATTTACATCAATTTATTACATTGATGGGCACGTATGAGGTCAATGATATCCAAAAAGGTTTTATGCATTATAAAGAGCCACGACCCGGCCTTTCTCTCGCATTTTTTTAACCGAAGTATCCTCAACACAAAATAAATTTAAAGATAGAGAAATGTACAAAATAAAAACGAATACAATGTTCTGAAGTTTTTCACTGCGAAAAAAAAAATTCCGAAGACTATGAAACAAGAAAAAAAAGCATTCAAATAACATCATTTCCCATATTCAGTTAATTATTTCAGAAAACAAAATATGTAGACATTAAAAATAAATATATACACAGTCCAGTCACATTAATGTGACCACCTGTCAAAAGCCAGAATAACCACCTTTGGCAGAGCGGACCGCTGCGAGACGTGCAGGAAGAGAGTCAATTAGGTTTCTGAAGGTGTTCACTGGGATGTATATATGTTGTTGTTTTTTGTTGTTTCTTATTCCACTTGGCTGGCCAAGCCCACAAGCCCATACTGTACTCATGATTGAAGGGGAAGGAAGCAGCTTCTGTTGTGATGGAGCACCCGTAGGTAGAAGCCTGACTTTTGCTCCGTGACGCTCTTACAGTCATAGGAGACCGGGACCTACGGCTTAAAGTGGATTCCGAACCACTACAAACATCCATGGCACCGCCGGGATTCGAACCCGAAACCGCTAGACACTCGGGCGCTAGACACTCGGCCATTCAGGTCCCAAATTTGCCAACGGCACGCGGTGTTCCCAGATGGTCACCCACCCAAATACTAACAGCGCCCAATGATGCTTGACTTCGGTGATCTAAAGAGAAACGGTCGTATATATGTATATATATAATATTGAAAACTATAACACTATTTTTCACAAGTCGGGCTACTGCAATACCTTATTTATTCAAGCAATTTGGCAGCGAGAGGAGAAAGGCACGATTCCTTCTAATGCTAATATTTGCCTTCAGAAACGAGGCTCTTCGGGGTTGATTACTACTACGAACCACATCACATCACTGTGCCTAGAGAGCTGAGCTGCCATATACAGTTTCAGATTGATATGGGTGAAATGAATGGACGAAAGATGGGGTCGGAAAAATTTTGCATAATTAACTTTTGAAGGTACAGAAGCTGAACAATGGGGAAAATTCTTACAGAAACAGAATAAAATATCAAGAATTTTAAAAATTGAAAAAGAATGAAATATGAAATGCGAAAATATATAAAAACATTAGATTAGATATTAGAAAAAATTTAAAGCAATGTAATACAATAAACACTACATAGAATATACAAATCAGAGAGCTGAAGGAATATTCATCGAATCAATTATTATAGATAGTAGAAAAAGAGTAATAGCTAGAAAATAAATAGACAGTAGAAGCAGTTGCTGCAAAATTATGGACAAGGGAAATAAAAAAAGGCAGGAAGATATTACAAAAGAGATAATATGCTAGGTACATAACTATTTAAATAAATGGTGTTCACATAAAAATTATAATTATGCAATTTAGAATCTATATGAAATAGAATAACGAATTGTTTCAAATTTAGTGTTCCCTAGATATACGCTCATACACCCACTTAAATTATATATGTTATGATGCAAAATTTCCTTAGATGCATGCACATCGGACTTGATTATGATAATAGGGAGTTTTTGCATACCGTAAGTTAGTTACCGTAGGACGTCCGTTAGCATTTTTCTCCCTAGCGCGCATGCTCACAGGAAACTGAGCATGCTGCTAGGGAGAAAAATGCTAACGGACGTCCTACGGTAACTAACTTACGGTATGCAAAAACTCCCTAATGTGTGTAAAAGACTTTCATCGCGGGCAAAAACGGGGCAGCAATCACTTCTGATAACCTTTCAGGAAATCACTGTATCCGCCAGTGACCTGTTCGTGGTATGCTAATCTAGGGCACGATGCCCCTGATGCCCCTGATGCCCTGAGTACTAATACTATAATTTAAGAAAACTTTTGAATCAATAATAAAATAAAAGAATTTCAATTTTTATTGAAAATTTTTATTTTATTATTGACTTATTTTATTATTTTACATTTAACTCAACGCAGCACCCCATTTGCCAGCCCTTTTTCTATAATATACTCAAAATTTATTAATATTAACCGATGGGGCATTATTATATTATTACAGTTAATTTTAATTTTAGAACCACACCATTCAACATTTTTTCTTAAATTAGAGTAAAAATAAAAGGTTAAGAAAATCGTTATCTTCTCATTAAGTTAAAACTTCTTTTCTGATAGTTAGCTTAGAAAAATCCGGTTAATTAAGAAGGCCGTTATTTTAGGACATTGTTTTTATCTTCAAAAAGAAAAAACACAGCTGCATCTCAAGAACAATACCTTGGAAAATAAAGCATATAATGGAAAAGCTCATCATCAATTACAGTAAAGACTTTGATCCCAAAACGTCAACATGGGGGGAAAAACCGCCTCTCTTTAACGAGGCGAAACATCGCTTAGTTTCCGTCTTATTTATCACGCTGATCTAAAAAAGGAACAAGAGATGGTTAGGGTGAGTTAATGAGCTTCTGAATGATTAGGGCCAACAACGCCGGTGTACTGAAAGAAGTACATCTTCCGATCGTTTATTCAGATTAGCACCGAAGAAGGATCAAAGTGAACTCACTTTTCAAGAAGTCTTCCTTTTCTTTTATTAGACCTGAACATTTTATAGTGTTGCCAAAGAAGATTAAAGTAAAGAGTTACCAAGCATCAAAAGCTTTAAGTTAGTTCTAAAAGAAGAATGGTAGTGAATTTTTATTAAAACTATAGTCGAATTTTTATTAAAACTATAGTCGAATTTTTAGTAGGATGATTTTTTTACTAAAGATGTCTCACTCGTGGACCAGTGGTAATAAGTGGTAACTGACATGCAAGGGTTAATGACTTCCTTTTAGTGTCCATGTGTGCTACAGTATCTACTTCCAAAAAATTAGCACATCTCAGGGTTTGGTTTGTCGCTCTACGGTCATCTTGTGCACATGAAAGCTAAACAGACCGGGACATGCTGTTTAACGTGGATTCTGAACCACTCACACTTCGCCATCAGGCAGGACACCCTTCATGGAGATTTCTGATTAAGACTATCTCACAAATAGACTTCCTGATTGGAATTTTTTGTAGTGCACTAATATGGACAGCTGTTTTTAAAAATCTTAATAGGTGGCATTTGTTTTTCCCACACTTATTGTAGATTATTACGGAGATCCTTGGCCGCGTAGCGGCCACTAGCTCCTTCTTTGTAAAATGTTGAAACATAGCAGTGGTCTCATGCCCTTTGAGTTATTAAGAAAAATAGATAATAAAAATAGATAATTAAATGCCCTTTTTTTTTTAAAGAGAATTATTTATTTAATAAAATTATAAAAGGAAACATATCAAAAATGTAGATGTTGATGGAATCAGTTGCATGTAATAACCCCGAATGAACAAAGGTCAAATCAGGAGAAAAGCGAACTTTTTTCATCTAGGCAGTTGTAAGTAATTAATTTAAAATATTTAGAACAGTGCGAGGTCTTTTGCTATGTTTGCGGGAAGAAATATCATAATCGTAATTTTGTAGGATATTTAATACAGGGTTATTAATGTTTCACATATCATTATAGAATTTAGTAGAAATTTTGTGAACAAATTGTCTTAAACTTGGAATCGAGAGAGCTCGTCTAATATCGTCATTACGAAAGTACCAGGGTGAATTCGTTAACATTCTGAGAGTTTTGTTCTCAAGCCTTTGAATAATTTCAAAATTTGTATGTGCGACAGAACCCCAAACTGGGCTTGCATAAGCTAATACTGGACGAAGATAAGAGAAATATATTAGAATTTTGAGATTAAGAGGTAAAGCTGAATTTCTATTGATTAAAGGGTAGAGAATTCCAAATTGAGTATTGAATTTATTTCTAAGGTTGTAGATATGCGATCTGTAGTTAAGTTTACGATCAAGGATGTTTTTCCCACACTTTGACCAGTTGCTTTGAGACGTATGCTTGCAGGTGCTGCTTTTTCTCAAATTATCCTAATGCTGTTAAAATACTACAGATAAAAATGTTTGATAAAAGTGAAAATGAACCTTTATAAAGAAACTACAATAAAACAAGAAATTTATTTCATTGCCTATGATGGCTTACAAATTCAATTTTAAAAGAATAGAATCGTTGCACGTACTTTCCGGCAACCAAAAGAAAATAAATAAAATGAGTAAATGTGAAAAAGAAAGAAATAGATAAAACTTCATATCAAATACACCATAATATTTTAACAGTTGAACGATGATTAGAACATAGAAGTACAATTAGTACTTGAAATAAAAAGTGAATAAAATATAATAATCCCCAGAAAGAAAAAATGGCTTACCTCATAACTTACAGGGTTAAGAGACTTTTCGTAGAAACTGAAGTATCATTGCGGTCTTATAAGATGCGTCCTCTGACATATCAAATATCCAAAAGTAAGAAAGAACTTTATATCAGAAAGAATTCTGTACTTTGTTTCTTGGTTCTACATATTTCAAGCATTGAAAAAAAATGTTTTCAACTGTCTCCGGAGTTGTGCAGATAGGGCAACCCCACACTGTTCTAGGAAACATAGTGTCTGTTGCCATAAAAATATCAAAAACACCAATTTTAATCAATGTTCTTCTATTTTGCCATATCGAAAATTGATCGCGAAAAAATTCTATTAACAAATAACGGGCAGATCTTTGTGCAATTATTGAAGGTGTGAAATTGCGCTAATTATTGAAGGTGTGAGCGCTAGCCAACTGGCCATCAGACCGCATTCCGAAATAGGAGATGTTTTCTTTTTACGCGATAGGGTTGTCAGCCTTACGTTCTACAACCATATTAGACCGGAACCTAAGGTTTAAAGTGGATTCCGAACCACTGCTAGCATCCATGGCACGGCCGGAACTCGAACCCGAAACGTATGACAATGAGCGTCAGAGCTCTAATCATTCGGCCATCAAGCCCTGTAACTTAAATCTAGAAAAGAAAAAAAAAACCTTTTAAACAAAAGAAAATGATTTTTAAGACAAGCAAAAAGTGAATAAACAGTTGCTATATCATACACTTAAAAAATAAATACTCAATGAAATCCTATTTTCATTCATAAATGAAATTCGACTTTATGCCAAGATGTTACAAGGCTACATAAGCTTAAAAATGATTTCCTATCCCAAAGGCATACCTTTACATTAATTGGCTTACTTAATTAAAATACGCATCGAATTTAATCATAACTTTCATTGCCTCTTGGGAGAAGATTATATTTCATACAGAATAGGTACAACAGAACTCTTCATATTAAATGATTCCAGTGCTGCTTATATCATTTGTATTTTGCACATAAATTCTCAATTTATAAATATTAAACTGTTTCTAACAAGTTAGGATATTTTTACATTACATGTGTCATTAAGATTTTCATACGCATCCATAAACTATCCATCTCGAAAAAAAATATTTATGTGCACAATATTTGTTATAGTTTTACATGAAGAAGTGAAGAAAAAATAGCTCGAATATTTTATAATAAATTGTTAATTTAAAATATTTTATTTTGTTGTTATATAATTAAGTGCGTTGCTAGAAATATATATTGTTAAAAAATTCGATTATTGAAACAAATAGAATAAGATAAATAATTAAAAACAACTTTAAGTGAAAAAAAATAAAGATTTATTTAAAAATAAAAATTAACTTTGAATACTGAACATTTTTTTAGCTTAATAATTTTATATTTAGGCTTTTGGTAGATTTTAATTAATACTAAAGTAAAAAAATTACCTAAGCATTAA